TGCCTTCCCTCTAGTCTTACACTGCTAACTTAGGGACGGCTAGCTTAGATAGCCCTCGTGTAGTTTTGTGCGAAATTCAAAACAAACAAAACCTTATATAACAACTTCTAATATATAAATAAGCCAGTGCGTTTTGGTAACAATGCGTTCAAACAATGGCTTTTATATCATGTTGCTTAGTTATAAAAGTATAACCTAATATTGTTGTTAAGAGGTTACGTGCTGAAAGTATAAAATGAAATGTATAATCTACAAAATTGAAACAAAAAATATTTGTTGTTTTCTAATTTAGAAGCTCTGTTAATTAAAGAAGTTTTTTATTTTTTTGTTTTTATTATTTAAGTTTAAAATCGAAGGACAAGTCAGAGGGAAGGTTACCTTTAGAAACAGGCCACATCCCGTAGAGAAGCAACAAAAGTATATAGGTTATAATTTTATGCTAAAATGGGTTCAGATTATAAATCAACTTAATAACCCGAGCGAAGCCGGGTACTTTCGCTAATTGTGAATAAGCATGAACGATAATATTTTAGCAAGCATATTTCAATATTCCGAGTGCTTCAACTTTATATATTTTTTTAATCGAGGCTGATTTCTCAATGGCTCAACGGTAAGTCTGAAGGCTTATAACGCTAAAACCAGGTTTCAATATTCGTGTTAGGCAAGTACAAATAGCCACTGTGTAGCTTTGCGCTTAACGATTGACAAACAAACAAATAAGACTAGAGTTATGTGTAGTATATGCTGTCATATAGAAATACAAATGTACAAAGCCAATTTAATAGCATAAAGGCTACACTTACACGGAATCCTCCGCAGAAAAGTTCATTGTCATTCCAGTTTATGGGGTTGTCGAACCCAAATCTCCACATCGAAGACCGTGAAGGTGGATCCTGGAGATAACCATGAGGCCTACAAAGGCCAACGAGTGAAAGAAGTATTAATTGTATAAACATTTCTAATGATTTTTTTAGTGATTCCTCAACTTTTATGGACCAGCTTTTTATCTCTCCTTATCAAAGTACAAACTTATGTCCCAACACTAGCCACACCTCATTGGAAACTAAGTAAAATGTTAAGTAGTCACAGATGGAAGTTTCCCCAACGTTTCCGTGTGAAACAAACCAATATATTTTCATGAGAAAGTAAGTAAAAGTAGGTTATAGAGGAATATGACAATTTGAGGATATTTCTTTCTTTCTCTAAAGAAAATTCAGTTAAGCACATTCTACGACACATACAGTCTTGGCCAAAAGGTCTGCATATTTTGTAACAAATAAGATCATTATTATTAAGATGAGATGCAAATACACTTAGAGCTGTCAAACTGAGAAATGCATATTATATTAAACATTTACATACGTGATTTGTATAATGAGACAGATTCTATGAACATTATGAACGATTTATTAGAACAGAAAACAATTTTATCAGACATCTGTACAAAGATGTGTAATTCAGCATCTCACCTATCACAACAAACCGTACAAAAAATAAATAATGACAAAATATAATATCAAAGTATTATAAATAGCGTCTGTAACCTTATATTCGTTCATATTAGACATTCAGTACTTTGTTGGTCCTCCTCGTACTCTAATGACCTTTACAAGGCGACGTGACATGCTGTCGATGAGGTTATTGATGTAAGCCACCGTGCTCTCATCCAGACTTATCACTAGAAGGCGATGTAATCCAGCTACAGCAGTTGTTAGCAATTTTCCGGCTCAGATCTGCTCAACAATTCTCAATGGGATTACAATCTGTAGACTTTGCTGGTCATGGCAATCTTGTAACGTCCTTTTGGTTGAGATAATCCCGTAAGATACGTGCACTGTAAGCAATGGAATTGTCATCCTAAAATACAAAGTTATTGACAAACCTTGCCATAGCATACGGCAGAAATATCGTCTCCATGGAGGATATGACGAGCAGTTTTTTTGCCATGATGAATAGCTGTCCAAACATATATTGCACATATATATATTCCCGCATCTGTTCTCAAGGGAAACGGCGAACAACAATGAAAAAATGACATTTCGCCAGTGTTCTAACTGTAATTTGGCATGCTGTCTTGCTCAAATAACACGGTGATGGCGGTTAATTCTGGTTAATATTGGTTTGCAGATTGTTCTTCTTGCAAAATAACCTTGTTTGGTCAGTCTCATATTCACTGTGTTTCTGTCTTCTTTCGAACTTGATGTATTAACTTGATTAAGACACGGTCATGTAGAGCAGTAGTTTTTCGGCGTCTGCAAGTAGAGTTTCGTGGAACAACGTTTCCTGTAGTCCATTGAAGTTTCAGAATTCTGGATACAGTACACTGGGGGTATCTACTATTTTACTAATGTCCGTTTGCTTCATACCATTTCTAGACAGTCGAACAATTTGACGCCCTATTTCTTCTGGCACGTGACGAAGCATGGCTCTACACCACGTACAGAGAAATTGTCTAAACAAAGTGTTGATTTGTTTCGAAAAATATTATACCAAAAATACACCCTTTTATACAAAACACATGTGTATGTGTATTTTGATGAGCAGATACTAAAAACAACTTATAGAGACCAGAATAACAACTCGTACATGTTTGTCCGATCATACATTGTAATTCATTGATTTTTTCTTTGGTGGTGGCTACAATTTCAAGGCAAATAACAATAAATATTAACACTACAGAATAAAAATATAACATGAAAAATATATTTTTTTCATTATATAGTAGAACGTTGACGCTGTTTATATGAAGAATCAGCATAATAAACATTTTTTGGCGTATAAAAGTTATGTGAATCTACAGCTGCATAGAAAATGATAAAAAAAAATGACTCTGTGTCATCAACAATGAAGAAATACAGGTCAAAGCCGGATTCTGCCTTCTTTGTTACTACTCGGGCATTTACTCAATAACTTCTCCATGCGTTTTGAGAGTAACATCAATATAAATATCAATATCAGTATGCAAAAATGTTGCCCACAACTGTACATAAACTTGATTCAATTAAAACGTAGGTAATTAATTTACTTCCTTATTTATGTTTGAAACGTGTATTTCCATAGTGTCATTTCTAGTTTTTGTTTGTTTGTTTAAAGTTATACACAAAGCTACACAATGGGCTCTGCCCACCACGGGTATCGAAACCCTGTTTCTAGCGCTGTAAGTCCGCAGACATAGCGCTGTGCCTCTGGGGGGCATTTCTAGTTTATACTGTATTAATGTGTGTACTACACTGCAGTAAATAAAAAACATAGCATCATAATCGAGAGTAAAAACACGTAAATTGTCGTTTGATATTCTAACGGATGAAACAAAATTGCCTCAGATACATCTTTAATACATTATAATTTTTAGAAGACACGAGGGTATAGATGTGTTAGTGAGACCAAGTATAGAGCTAAGACGCTGTGGAATGCATATGCTTAAAATTTTATTAAACCTGTAAACTTAGGGCGTATAACGTCAAAATTCAGGGTTCGATCTCTGTGATGGGCACATCGCAGATAGCTCAATGATCAGCTTTGCGCTGAAAACAAAGGAAATAAAAATTAAGTTTAGACGCGATGTCGAAACATTTTGAATGTTTAGCGCAAACTATAGTGAATTATGATTAATATTTAGTATCTTAAATTCAAACGACCCCTAATGCGACACATAGGCTAAACAGACAAGTCTGAGACATTCAAAGTTCAGGCACAACTATCTTTAATTTAGAATTGCTCAGACAAAGAACAGCCAGTCAATAGCCTACACTGCAACTCTTAGTAGAGTGACCTCAATCTGTAAGTACGTAGTGTTCAGCGGCACATTGAGACTCGAACCATGTGCTTTAGACCTGATATGTTAGCCAATAGATTACACACAGCCCAATTTCTTAAAATATGTAATTTTGCCCCATTCATTAAATATAAGCTGAATAGTTCTCGCAAAAAAATTATAGAATGGTTAGTGGTTAAATCTCAACAATATATTGAAAAATATACAGCTACAATATACAACTACGATAATATGACGTGAAAATAAAGTACTATAATGAAGTAATACATTGATTTTTTCTTCGGTAGTCGTTACAATTTTAAGGCAAATAAAATGAAATATTAACGTTAGAGAATATAAATGTAACATGAAAAATATTTTTTTTCATTATATAATAAAACGTTGGTGTCGTTTGATATGAAGATTCAGCATAAGAAAACTTTTTTCACGTGTAGAAGCTATGAGAATCTACAGCTGCGTAATAAATGATAAAAAACAAAAAACTCTGTATCATCAACAATGAAGAAATACAGGTCAATGCCGGATTCTACCGATAAGGCGACAAGTAGTTTTTTACAGTACTATTTTTCATAGGCTTAACATAACCTACTGGTTAGTGTTCCTGTGATGTGAATCGGAGGATTCCTGATTTGCGACTGGTTGCTTCTAAAATGCGCTCCACAAATTGAGACTGTGGGTACATTTTAAGGATGACGGTCATATTTCACTATTCACTCAAATAAGAGTAGTTCAATAGAGTTGGTGAGGGAGCTGTTAACTAGATTTTAAAGGAGATCAAATATTATAAATGCTATGCTCTATTTCTTCCATTTTTGGTAGGTCAGTAGACAGTGGTAGGCAGGTACCTAGGGTTAGAGAGTTGCTAATGTTACTCCTGTGTTTAAAGGGGTGATAAACATTGCCTTATAAATTAAAGGACAGTTAATATTGCATCTGCTGTGGGAAAATATTGTAGAAAGTCTGATAAAAGAAACTTAGCAAAATCATTTACTGAAATATTATATCATAAAACAAAGACAATTATGATGCAAACATTGCCTTACTGATATGTTATCTCTTTTTCAAAGCTGTTACTTTTTATATGGATGATGGAAATGGTGTAGCCTTGGTGTAGGTATAATTAGATTTTCCAAAAAATGTTATAAGGTACCACACAAAAAAACATTATCTGCAAAAATCAAACTAGTAGATGATTGGAAAAACTAGTTAAGTGTACTACTGATTGGTGAGATACAGCAAAAGGGTTGTAATTAACGGAATCGCGTTCAGCTGGATTATTGTTACCAGTGGGTGTGCCTCAATGTCAGTACTCGGTCCTTTACTTTTTCTTATTTACATTAATTATATTGATATGGGCATAATTACTAAACTTTGCTGATGACATTAAAATATTGGGTATTTCTAGCTACGTTGAGGACGTTGAGGTATTACAAAATAAATGGGACCAGTTCGACAAATAATTGTCAAATAGCGTTTAATTACAGTAAGTGGATTGTAGTGCATTTGGGTTATTGTCATCTAGATTATTGGATTAATATAGTTAGAAATCAACTTAATAGTATCGCTAAAAAATAGGATCTTGGCAGAGTGATGATTAAGTCATTTTGTCATGAAACCAATGCTTTGTTACTAGTAGAAACGTTAAAAGAAGTTTAAGGTATATTCACAAACACATCGATTACAAGGCAAAATAAGTAGTTATCTTTCTGTACAAATCACTGGTTTAACTTCACTTAGAATGTTGTGTACAGCTATGGTTTCTTTATATAAAGACATTGTTGTATTGGAAATGGTTTATAGGATATTTAGGGCATGAAGAAGTTATCTTACAAGGATAGATTAAAATTTAAATCACTTAACTTTATTTTCTCTTGAGAAGAGAAGTTTACAAGAGAGACCGGTAAGATAAAGGTCTCTGATTTATTTATGCGGTATTCTGAGGACAGTAGGGTGAGAGGGCACACGTTTAATATTTGAAAAAGACAGTCTAAATTCCACGTAACACAATTTTGTTTTTCTAACAAGGTAATTGGCTTATAGAATAATTTCTATCGGCAGTAGCGGAGGTCAGCACTTTACAAGAATTTAAGAGGGAAATCGATGATTTTGTCAAAAAATAAAGGTTGGGTTTAAATGTTCACTTTCATAAGTGTAAATGTTCAAGAATTGTCTTGAACGACCATGTGTTAT